TATGATAATTATAAATAATAAAACATTTAAGAATAATAACTCCAGAAAATGCTTCGGGGAGAGAGGGGGTTCCTTCCAGTCCTTTTTTGTCCTCTGTTAGTAGCATGGCTTGCACTCAGGAATTTATACTCACTCCCTGTGGCTTGTTTGCTCATCAGTGGTGCTTCACCCCTTGAACCACATGTCCAGGGAAGCATTTTCCTGATTGTTTTGGGGATGAAGTTTCCTTCATTTTTCTGCCCAGGCTGGCTCCAAACAATGATCCTCTGCTCACAGCCTCTTGAGTAGCTAGGATTATCAGTATGAGCCACCAGTGCTTGGTTTTAGAATAGATTTTAATAACGTGTATTATAAGAAGCACTTTTGTTGTTGGTGGTGTTTTTTTTGGGGGGTCCGGTCGTGGGGCCTGAACTCTGGGCCTGGGCGCTGTCCCTCAGCTCTTCAGCTCAAAGCTAGCACTCTACCACTTGAGCCACAGCGCCACTTCCGGCTTTTTTCTTATGTGGTGCTGAGGAATCAAACCCAGGGCCTCGATCATGCAAGGCAAGTGCTCTATCACTGAGCCACCTTCCCAGCCCCAAGAAGCACTTTTATCACATACATTTGATAGAACTTAGCCTAATTCTGGAAAAGAGACAAATTAAATCTTACCATTTCTACTGTATAGATAAGAAAACCCAGAGAGCAGGTACAGCTATGTGGATGTATGGGCATGGAATTGGATTCTAATTCTGATGCCTCTGAAACCTGGGTCCAGAAGCTATAATATTTCTGCTTGTTTAGTCAGCATTGTTATGTTAAACCCTTTCTAAGGTCATGGGAGTTCAAATACAAAGAAATGAACATGGTCAGCTAGAGCTGGAAGCCTGTGGAAGACAGGCTGTCTGTGGTTTCTTCTGCTTGAGATTGCCTGTGGGCTTTGATTTGATTATTGCAATATTCTGAAGGACTGCAAGTGTGGTTTAGCAAAACATAGAGTAGGAAGATGGTGCCCACTATGGGCAGTCACATTGCTCAGAATGTCAGCTTACAATGATCATTGACAAACATGTCCTGGCAGATTACAGACCTATAATCAAGTGAGATCCTAGGCCAAAGTCATCCAAATTGGGTATATGGCAAAAGTTTACTGATAGGATAGGTCCTTCAAGATCTCCATTTTCAACTACTGGACTTTACTTTCCTTTGTTGAAGGTTTTCATGACATAGAGCTTTTGGAAAAGCTATAAGGAAATTTCAGTGATCTTGATCAAAAGATCCTCTTCCACCAAACTTTAAGCAGAATGTCTTTCTTATGTGTGACCATGTAAAGAAAAGGCACACTTAAGCACATTCTACAAAGCCCATTAAAATGTATTCTAGGTTCTAGGGAAAAGCATCTTTGATTTATTAATTCAGGATGGGACAGTATGCAAGGTCAATGTTAACTTGTAGACTGATAATTGGCTTGTAGTCTGGTAATCAGATAATTTTATACAGTATGCAAATTAGTTCTATTTGGTAATAAAATATAAAATAAGCCCCAGAGGTTAGAGTTTTTTAAAATCTATTTCTGAAAATACACTTCAACATTGTTTCCCACTATTTATGTGCATTAGTCTCTCCTACATGTGGTTTCCTCATCAATGACTTAACTATGTCATTGATATGGGCTCACCATATATTTGTATAAAGGCCTCATTCCTAGCTTTCCGAAGTTTGCTTTGGCAGTGTCTTAGCAATTCTTCTAGGAAGAATCAACTGCAATTTATGGAATTTAGCAATGTGAAGATTATAAAGCACAAAGAGGGAAAAAAATCCCACTGGGAGTATATGTGCTATTTAATTTGATCCTTTCCTTCAGCTGCTCATGAACACTGCCTCGAAGCTGTTCCTCCAAGTGTGTTGGTATTGGACTACAGTACAAAAATCAAAATAAACAAAACAATGCAAAATGAAAAAGCCCTATGCAAACAGATGGATGAATGGAGAAATTACAATTTTAGAAGTGAAATGGAAACTGGTGGTGGTGGCCACCCAGAGAGGATCCTTCTTGCTTCTAAATCCTATCTCTCTGCAGGCGCTAGCTTTCATTCCAAGCCCAGAATTGATTTTCAAGGCCATGTGCATTGGATAGAATATCAGGTACAAAGAAAAACAAGCTTTGTTGCATATTTTATCCTAATCTCCAGAACAATCATTTCCTTTTCCATAAGAAAAAGATGCATTATAAAGACCCAGAAACTAGTGCCTTCTCAAAGGAATACCAACCCCAAACAACCTTTACTTGCCCCAAGTGATGCCTCAAATCAACTACTAGGGACTCATCTGAGCCCTAGGTACTAGACTTTATTTGGAAAAAAAGGTATTACATTGATGTAACATTAATCCTTCCAAAGAACTCTGACTTGGTTCTTGGTTCTGACTGGTGATTTGATTAAGAACTCCAAAAACAAACCTTTGATGATCTTATTAGAAGTGTATCCATTGGCCAACAGTATTCTGAACCCAAATTCTGACCCTTGCCTTCTGGTGTTCATTCCATTTTCGCTGAGTCCTCAATGGTATGTTTAAGGGGTGAAAGTAAATTTCTTCAATTTCCTAGTATGTCTCTTGTCCCAACAATTATATACAAATATATTCACAACTGATAGTAGTGATACATTTTGGAAATATTTAAAAGAACATAAAACTACTTGCCAATGATTCTCAGCAAACCATTAACTCTCTCATGTACCTCTTAAGGTAATATTTCCTCTTTTCCTGTTGCAAGCTTCTTTCTCTTGTCTAGAAACATGGACTTCCCTGGTTTACTTTTCTGATCTAGAATATAGCACTTGTGCTCAGAATTGTCTTTTTATGAACAATGTTTTCTTTAACAATTAATGAGTGTAATGAGATTGTGAGTTGCTACATATCCCCTAATGTGTATACGATACTAGAAAATAAATATCTAGTTTGAAAATAGCTTTTGAGCACATTATTCCTAAAATGAGAAAATTAATTATGTAACAACATCTGACATAACTTCTGACTCATTTCAGTATCATTCTTTATAAGGCAACTAAGAAAAATAAGGCTCTATGATTTTTTTGTCTTATTGCTTCTTTGCTTTGTTAATCACAAGCAATTCCCTATTCAGAAATGTCACCTAGGGCAGCTAAGTCAAAATGGTCCATAAACTAGGTTATTGAGGGACTCTTACACTCACCCAAATCTCCTAGCCAATTGTTTCCCTTTTCTAGCACTATAAGATGAAGGAGTAAAAGCAAACCTGAACACTTTCCAATCACCAAAAGCCTCTCTACTCTAATTGAATATGCACTTCAAGAAATTCCTCATGTTTCCTTTGAGTTTCCTAAAGAAATGCTAGACCAAGCCTCTATATAAGGTTTCTCCCTGACAAAATCGGACATGCCTCTTTATTTGTCTGTTTTTTTCCAACTCTATGTTTCTTGAGATATTTTCTTTTGCTTAGTAATGACTTGGATCTGTATAGATGGCTTTTGCTTTAGTGTTCTGGTTTCTGGAACGCTCACACACTGGCCATATTCAGGTGGGTAGAGTGGACTTCCCTTCTTGAACTAGTGTATCTTACTGTTAGAACTTACATGAGGCAGTCATGTTTCTGTCTCGCTACTACTATAGCCCCAATGCCTAGGTCTGTGTAAGAACCCAGTTTTAGATGTAGTTTTAAAAAGCCATCTTAGATCTTCAGTCCTTTCCCCAGATTAGCTGAAGTAGCACGTGTTAAGCCCCCACCCCGGGCCCTGAAACTGCAGGTACCTCTAGCCTCAGGCAGCATCAGTGGAATGCTGTCCTCTTGGGTCGGTCACAGTGGTTGACCCCCCTGGGGCTATGTGTTATCTCTGATGTCCAGTGACAGCTGCAGAAGTGCCCCCTGGCCCAAATGGCTCCAGAATGTGACCTCATGAATTGTTGACAAAAATTGCTCATGAAAATTGCTTATGAAATTGCTTATGATAAGGCCAACTGCCAATTTCCCTTCTATGAATCAGCTTGCTTGCTTGTGAAACCGCCTTGCCACCTGCATGTTTGTTTGTTTTTTGCCTTTACAAGCCCTACCCTACTTGGGGTCCAGACTGCTCCCAAGTCCAGGACAGGACAACCCCAGCCTGCAAATAACCTTTGTCATCTTTAACCGTGCATCTGTGGAATACTCCACTCCCAGGTGATTTCAGTCTGGTGTAGTACCTTATGTATGATAGTTCTTGATATGCATTTGTTGAGAAAATGAAATGATCACTTCCTCTGAAGATCATATATACAATATGACAAACAAGCTTGCTTAAAACCAAGAATCTCAAAGAGTAGTTAATCTTGAAGTGGTCAGGACATCCTGTTGAGGGAAGTTTAAATTTCCACATACATAGGGTCAACCATTAATTCAGAGATTTTCCAGTTCCTAACTCTTACACATGGACTCTAGGTTAATGGTCTCTTTTCTCTACTGTCCATGAATAATTGTGTGTAAAAAGAAAATATCTGAAAATGTGGGCCCAAAAAGGGTTTTCTTTTTCAATAATGAGAATGTATGACCTATAACAAAGACTTAGAGGTCACTGATAGCCAACAAGGACTTCATTCAGTTTGTATAGACCTGGGGTCAGAGGAAAAGTTAAAGAAACTCTATCAAAGAAAAAAATGTAAAGACGCAATATTTTATCCAGGACAGAGACATTCCTTTAATTTTTTCACTGTCAGCATAAATCTTGGGGCACCCTTGATCTAAGATCTGGTAACAAAGAAAATGCATTCATGGGATACGTGATATGTAATTCACAATCCTACTGCCTCTGCCTTTGAGGGCAGGGTTTACAGGCATGTGCTACCATGCCCAGTAAGAAAGGAAAATTAAGATCCAAAAACTGGAGCTAAGATTGGCAATCCAAAGTTAAAACATCCTTTTGTCCCAGTGACCAAGAAAAATGAGTCAACAGTCTTAAATTTGAATGGAAAGAAAGAAAAGTAGTAAGATTAAAAAATATAATGCAACTTACCACAATTTTATTGAGCATCTACTTTTTCTATGATCGCATCTCAGAGCTAAGGAATAAGACAGGGCCATTTTCTTCATGGAGCATGTGATCTAGCTTGTACCACTTCTTATTCTATATTTCAAAAGTCTTTAAAAGAATGATTCATGCTTCAAACTGAGCCAAGCTGAAAGGAATTAGATTAGCTATCTTATGAACTCCCACAATTCTCTCATATGAAAGAGTGGTCTTGTCTGGGAGCAATTTTGTCTCTGGGAATTACTGGGTAATTTCTTGAGACGATTCAGTTGTTATATTTGAGAAAGCAGGAGCTTCTGGTATTGAGTAGGTGTAGCCCAGAGCTGCATCTGAACATCTTATAGTACCCAGTATAAAACTCCACCACAAAGAAAGATGTGGTCCAAATATCAAGAGTATCAAAGATTCCTGTATTTGAGCGAAATGCTTTGCATATGTTTGACAGCTGACTGGGTTGTCTACTGCTTCCTGCATAGGTCAACACATCATGCAAATGAGGGTTGTTATCTCAAGAGAAGCAATGGTAGAAGTGCATGATCTCTTGGGCTCGTGGGCCTGGCCTTTAAGGGAGGAATTTCCCTGCTCTTCTGGGCATGGCAGTGGAACATTACCCAAGCAGCAATAGAACAGCTCTGGGAGTTTAGTGTTGGAGTAAATTTCATCAGAAAATGTACTGAGGGACTACCAGAGCCTCTAAAATTAGAGACAGACACCATCAGATCAGAAAGGTAACTTAGGCACAACAAACACCATACAACTAATTTGTATTGAGCTGAACAGAAATGCTACTTGCATGGCGTACATGCCACTTTTCAGCGCAACTGATTGAATATCAAGGGGGTATCCTTCTAATGTCCTCTCCACTATAGGCTGATATTTGTAGGGACAGAAAGAAGAGCCTGACATTCTCATCTATGATTGTTTGTAGACCAAACCAAACCCAATCAAAACAAACAAAGCAAAACCAAATAAAAACAACAACAAAGCAAAATAAAACACAAAATGCTTTACGTACATTGCTGTATATTTTAAGATGACTCTCTGTTTTTTGTTTTGTTTCAATCAACTTTATTCAAAACATTTATCATTGAATACAAAAATTTGCCAAGGTGCCATACACACACACACACACACACACACACACACACACACACACACGCATGTGCGCACGCATGCGCGCGAAAAAAAATCTCTTTCCACCCTATGAATCAGCAATGAAACATACATCAAATAGCTTGACTTTTATGATCTGGCGGATTTGCTCACTTGGAGTTCCTGTTTCTTTCTTTCTTTCTTTCTTGCTTTCTTGCTTGCTTGCTTGCTTGCTTGCTTTTTTTTTCAATTTCCTACAGGATGCTGTGCTTTTATTGTTAGGCCACCCAGGCATGTCCTTGATCATATGAAGTGTTCTAACATAGGCTCGCATTCTTGGGAGCACAACCCCCTGGTCAGACAAGGGTTGGTGAAAGGTCAGGGCAGAGGAAATGCAGATGTCAGAGATCTGTGAGCCTGTGTAGAGCCCTTCAGCAGGGCCACAGCTGCTGCTTTCACCCTCCCCCAGCTTTTCCTCTTTGGACAAAGCCTTTATGTCTCAATGTTCCTATCAAAGGCACAAGAGAACACAAGTGAATTTTAGAGAGAATGCCCAAACGATGTTTCTTCCCTGTCTCAGGTGTACTGGCTGGAAAGGGCACACTGATTGCCACACGCACAAGGCTGTGTGTCTCTCCATATTCCACAGCTGGCTGCTGCTCCCTTCTCTTCTCCCCTTCCCTGAAAGGGAGGAATACTGAGAGGAGTTCTGAGTAAATGTTATTTGCAAAGAGTAGAAGGGTTGTTGCTAAAGTGATTATGATTCGGATGTTTCTTTCTGATCTGATCCCAAAATAAACTCTTGGGGAAGAAATAATTTATTTTATGCCATTGAAAAGAGTTTTCTGGCTAATAAACTTCCTCTACATATGCAATCTGTCAGATCAACAATTAAGTGAAGATTTACAGACATCATTTAAAAGAAAGCCTACAATCCATGTACCTTGTTTTAAGTTTGTGCTACTGGGAACTAGGGGTGTGTGTGTGTGTGTGTGTGTGTGTGTGTGTGTGTGTGTGTGTGTGTGTGTGTGTGTGTGTGTGTGTGTGTGTGTGTGTGTGTGTGTGTGTGTGTGTGTGTGTGTGTGTGTGTGTGTGTGTGTGTGTGGTGTTTGGGGAAAATTAATTTTATACTTTTGGAAAAGTCCTAGGACTAAGGCTGTTGAGGTAAAAGGACACATATATAAGTCTATAAGGGATATAAGGAATTATTGCCTGATGTGAAAAAGAAAGATGTAAAAGACAAATAAGTTTAAATAAGTTTAAAACACGGAATGAAAAAGTACAATAACTATGCATAATCAAAAAGTCTCATGACATTGGAGAGGTGATGCATGCTTGTACCCAGCAATTAGGAGTCTGAGTTGAGGCATAAAGATCATGACTTCGACCTTAGACTGGACTACCAAGTAAGATGGGGTCTGTAAAAGGAGAGTGGGGGAGAGAGATGGTGTCTCAAAACTGAGAGATAGAGAAAAAAGGGAGAGAGCCACAGAGAGAGAATGGGAGGCAGGAAGAGAGGGAACAAGAGGGAGGGAGGGAGGGAGGAAGGAAGGGAAAGAGGGCAAGAGAGGGGAAGGGAAGGAGAGAGGGAGAGGGAATAAGAATAGTATAGGAGGTTTTAGTGAAATTGGCCAGAATATGTTTATCTGCAAATAAATGCTACTTACATTTCTGAGCTCTTGCTATGAATATGGTCAGTCTTTGGAGCCAAAATAAACAAAGACATGATGAGGGTCGGCTAAAAAAAAAAACTCAAATAGGAAAATTTAGCTACTTAAAGTTGACACAGGAAGTTGCTGGTTTCACATTCACAAACTAAAGAGCCCAAGGAAGTGAGAATGTGTGGTAGATTGAAGGTGGACATGAAAAAACATTTGCAGAACACCTAGAACATTGCCCAGCACACAGCTTGGGTTTCTTTTAAACCTGTCATCATCAACACAGGAAACGTGGGAGTCTAGTCTATATCAGATGATGTACATAACATTTCGTTAGAATGTTGTGTTTGTCTGGGCTCATATTACTTGCATCGAGAGGTCAGAAAAGTATGGTTAGTCAACCAAATCCTTCCTGCTGTTTTTTTTAAAGCTGTGAGCAGATAATAGTTTTTTACCTTTATAAATGATTAAAAGAATAATTATATTGCATGATACTTGAAGAGTAAAATCCTAATTTCAACAGCCATGTGATTCTATTGAGACCACAACCATAGCGAGTCATTTCCATATAATCTGAGGCTGCTTTGGGACAGGAGGGGTAGAATAGTCATGACAGATACCACAGGTGCCTGTTCTGCAAAGCTGAAAATATGTACTACTTAGAGACACTTTGCCAGCCCCTCCTCTAACATGTACTAACAGGCATAATCGGAAAGTAAAAGCAGAAAGGGAAATAAAAACACTATGGTAAAAAAAAAAGAAGTGGGAGGAAAGCACCATCCAAGAGTTCTGCACATCTAGGCCCTTCTTGCACGCAATCCTGGCCCCATATGAGCAGAGCAGAGTTCAACCCACCCCACAAAAACTTTGCCACTGTGTAAAGCTATGGGGTGGTTTAAATTCCATGCCAAGGTTGGAATTAGGTCTTATTTTAGCTGATTGAGGTTACCTAGGTTACATGACAAATCAAAAATAGCTGAAATGGTCCTGTAAATGAAAAACAAATGTATAGAGAGGGACAAATCAATTTGCAGAAGAAAGCTAAATGTTCCTTTAAATGGAGCCTGTGCACCCCCTCTCCCCCACTGCTAATGAGTTCCCTGGAGCTAAGTGCCTGGAGAGAATGAAGGAACTTTTGTGGGCCCCAGCAGGACCTCCAATCAATCAACACAGTAGAAACTTTTGTTGGTTTCAGGCCTTGGCAAATTTTAAGCTTTCCTGCTTATACTGATAGTTTGATGTTCAGTGGGTATTTTGGTAATAAATTCCCATGGAACTCCACAATAGTGAAAGAATGGTCACTCTGGCAGTTATCCCTGTGATATACTTGGTGAGTTTTCTGCATCCTTTTTTTGTGCGGTACTGGGGTTGAATTCAGGGCCTCACACTTGCTATGCAGGTACTCTACCATTGGACTCACATTTCCAGCCCCTGTTGCACTGGCTGTTTTCAAGGTAGGATCTCATTTTATGCCTGGTCTGTGATCCTCCTACTTTGAGAATACTACTCTCATTGTCAAATAAAATAAGAGCATAAAAATGCTGGGAAAAGTATTAACTATACAACATATTTGGAGATATAAAAATAAAAGTGATTAATAGCTATAGAACTTTAACATCAAATCTTGGTCTGCACCAACTTCTAAAGATGGTCCTTTCCTTTGAGTTGGACTGAAATTCTCTGATGAGATCATAATGTTAACTTTGTTCGTGCAGAAACTGAGCCAGAGAGAAATGAAGTACCTCACCCACTTGTAAAAATGAAATTTTCATCTCAAAGGCATGTTCTTATCCTCATACTAGGCTTCCTCTAAAATGCAATATTGAAGTATGGCAACATATGAAATTGATATAAAAGTGACAGTCTAAAAATCACTGCACACCAAAAACAAAGCATAACATGTTTTTTAAAGTTTTTTTTTTAACATACCTACCAGGAAGAAAAAGAAATTTCATTAGATTAATGGCCCAACATCCCCAGCACACACAAACTATCTTAAAGGTATTATCCAAAATGGTAGCCACTTCATTTCTATTGTGACTTTGCTCCTCATTGTTAAGTCTAAAACACTGGCTGGCCTGCACAAGAGACAATGAGATTTCTAAGTTCTTATCTTCTAAGAGTTATTCTACTTATTCCTAAAATTAATATCTGAGAGCTAGAAAAAGATTAGTGGTAAGGCCCTTGTCTGACATGTGGGAGGCCCTAGGTTCCACTTTAGCATTACAATTAAAAAGAAAAGGTTACTATCATAGCTGAATGAAGTTCAAATCTTAAGAATATAAACTTACGGAACTGACTGTAATCTTATAATTCAGTTCCATAGTGTTGGGGAGTCATTAAACTTCCATGTAGCTCTAAACAAATGTCCCCAAATTTGGAGACTTCTTAAAGACTCCGTACTCGTTGGCTTTGCTCTAACATTTATTTCTTGTTTACGTTGGACTGGGAAACTTTCTAAGAGTTATTCAATTATTAACTCAACTATTAACCCTCCCAACAATGAACCGTTTGGGGCAGGTGGGATTATTATTATCATCTCAGATTATGTTTGAGATTAATTGATTATCATTCACTGAAGAGCACAAAGAACTTACGTGATTTCATACATGTGGTCTTTTAGGTTTAG